ATTATCCTGGGCTGAAAATTTTTTTTATTAGTTTGTGGAATATATTGCTCATTCTCTTCTGGCCTGTAGAGTTTCCTATGAGAGATCTTCTGTGAGCTTAATTGGCATTCCTTTATATGCCAGTTGATTGTTTTCATGTGCACATTTAAGGATCTTTTCCTTATGTTCAATTGAAGAGTGCTTGCTTATCATGTGTCGTGGTGAAGATTGCTTTTGGTCAACCCTGTTGGGAGTTCTGTGCCCCTCCTGGATGTTGTTTCCCAATTCTTCTCCAGATTAGGAAAATTTTCTCTTATTATTTCATTAAATACGTTTTTAGCTTATTATTAATTTTTAAGATTTGTTTTATTTTCTTTACAAAGTCAGATATACATACACACACACACAAACGCACACACACACACACACACACACATTCTCAATTGAACTTGACATTAATGAAATGCCTGATTGGTCTGGCTACTGTAGTCGTCAACATTTTTATTTCATTTGAGTGTAAATCACCAAATTTGAGTTTAGGGTTGAAGTTTAATTCTAGGAATGACTGGCTTCTTTCAAGAACAAGAGAGGGGCCTGGCATGATGGCGCAGTGGTTAAGGTCCTCGCCTTGCACGCCCGGGATCCCATATGGGTGCCGGTTCTAATCCTGGGGTGCTGGTTCTAATCCCGGCAGCCCCGCTTCCCATCCAGCTCCCTGCCTGTGGCCTGGGAATGCAGTTGAGGACAGCCCAAAGGTTTGGGACCCTGCACCCACATGGGAGACCCGGAAGAGGCTCCTGGCTTCGGATTGGCTGCTCTAGCTATTGCAGCCGCCTGGGGAGTGAATCATCGGACAGAAGATCTTCCTTTCTGTCTCTCCTCTCTCTATATCCGCCTTTCCAATAAAAAATAAATCTTAAAAAAAAAAAAAGAACAAGAGAAAAAACTTAGTATTATTTCCTGAGTTTGATTTCTGCAAATTACAGGAAAATAACACCCTTAGCCTGTTAAAGCTTTTCAGTAAAATATGATTATATCTAAATGTTTTTCTTTTTTTTTTCTTCCCTCTCTTCTGATTTCTTCTCGTGTGTTATTTTTTTTTAAAGATTTATTCATTTTTATTGAAAAGCCAGATACACAGAGAGGAAAAGAGACAGAGGGGAAGATCTTCCATCTACTGGTTCACTCCCCAAATGACCACAATAGCCGGTGCAGCGTCCCAAGGCTTGGGCTGTCCTCGACTGCTTTCCCAGGCCAGGGAGTTTTCCCAACAGAGAGTCAGATGGGAAGAGGGGCTGCTGGGATAAGAACCAGCGATCATATGGGATCCTGGCACGTACAAGGTGAGAACTTAAACCACTAGGTTATCGCTCTGGTCCCCTGTGTTATCTTTTCTAAGATTTATTTATTTGAAAGGTAGAGTTAGACTACAGAGCTTTTGTCTGCTGGTTCACTCCCTAATTGGCCACAGTGGATGGAGCTGTGCCAGTCCAAAGCCAGGAACCAGAAATTCTTCTCCACCTGCTGCCTGGGTTGCAGGAGTCCAAATACCTGAGCCATCCTCTGCTGCTTTCCCAAATGCATGAGCATAGAACTGAATTGAAAGTGAAGCTCCAACCCATGTCTTGTATAGGAAGCTGCATGCCGTAATGTTGGAGAGACGGAGAAAAATCTTCCATTTGCTTGCTCATTCCCCGAATGGAACTGCTGAAAGTTAAGCCAATCTGAAGCCAGGAGTCAGGAACTTCTTCTAGGTATCCCACACAGGTGCAGAGTCCCAAGGCTTTTGTCTCAGACCACAAGCAGGGAGCTGGATGGAAAGTGGAGCAACTGGGACATGAATCAGCTCCCATGTGAGATATCTGGTCCTTGTAGATAGAGGATTAGCTACTTGAGCTATCATTCTGGCTTCATGTTAAGTCTTTAAAAAATGATACCTGGTGTTGGGCCCAGCACGGTATCCTAGCAGTTAACATGCTGGGATCCCATATGGGCACTGATTCTAATCCTGGCAGCCCCGCTTCCCATCCAGCTTCCTGCTTGTACCTGGGAAAGCAATCAAGGATGGCCAAAGCTTTGGGATCCTGCACCCACATGGGAAACCTGGAAGAAGCTCCTGGCTTTGGATCAGCATAGCTCAGACTGTTGCAGTCACTTGGGGAGTGAATCATCAGATGGAAGATCTTCCTCTTTGTTTTTCCTCCTCTCTGTATATCTGACTTTCCAATAAAAATAAATAAATCTTTGGGAAAAAAATTATACCAATTATGTGTTTTATTTCATCATTCTTTAAGACAGAAAGAAAATAAAAGTAAATCCTTCAGTGAAATTGAGATTTTTCTTTTACTTTGGTCAAAATGTAAATATCTTATTAGCCTGTTATTTTAAATTATTATTTATGTTTATTTAAAGCTTTCCAGGAGGTTTTGTGGGTTTTCATGTCTTGGATAAGCCGTCTTTCAATATAGTCACTTGAAATTTTTCAGCTAAAGAGAGTTGGTATGTCAAGTTACATTTCTACTATGTACATATTTTAAATGCCACTTTCCTGCAAGCTTAGTTAGCACTCACTGTCATTCCTTTAAGAGGCAAAATATGCCAAAGTTAATCCTGTGTCAGTGATTGTAATGTGTCGCTGTTTCTTTTATAAGAATAGTGTTCACATGAGCACTCTTAGAGAACAGGCAAACTGTTCCAATAAGCAAATTATGTGGAATGCAGTCTTAATTGATAAACCCATAGCTCTCAAACAGAACATATTTCTCTCTCCCTATGGTTCTTTTTTTGTGTGAAAGATTTATTTATTTTCATTGGAAAGTCAGATATCCAGAGAGGAGGACAGAGAGAGGAAGATCTTCTGTCCACTCCCCAAGTGACTGTAGTGGTCAGAGCTGAGCTGATCCAGAGCCATGAGCCAGGAGCCCCTTCTGGGTCTCCCATGTGGGTTCAGGGTCCCAAAGTTTTGGGTTGTCCTCAACTGGTTTTCTAGGCCACAAGCAGGGAGCTGGATGGGAATCAGGACTGCCGGGATTAGAACCAGGGACCATAAGGGATGCTGCTGCATTCAAGGTGAGGACTTTAACTGCTAGGCCACCATGGTTATCTTGCCAAGTGCTTTCATGCAGTGACATACAAACCTAATGGAAACTAAAGTGCTGTTGATATAGTATCAGGTGAGAGGAAAGAAGAAAATAGAGACAAAAGTAACATTATATGTATAAAATCACAAAAGAAGTGGAACTATTGTTTAGAAAACCCATTAGGCACTTTATCCTGTTGCTTGTCTTAAGGTATTTTAATTGAAATATGTAGGAATGCAGACAGTAGGTCTTTTAATTTTCAGACTAGATGCAGGGATGCAAATTGAAACCCCTGCATCTGACTTTTTTTTTCCTATTTAAAAAAGATGTATTTATTTGTTTGCAAGACAGAATTAGATTTACATCGCTGGTTCATGTCTCAGATTTAAGTATGTGTTGGAATGCTTGATTAGAAAACCGCTGAGAATGTTACCAGGATCAGTAAAGATTTGTAGTATATGTTTAAGGCAAATTATACTAGCCAGATTTAGATATTTTTATGTTTCTTCAACAATACACTTTGAGTTAAAATCTTATAGTTGAAATGTGTACTGAAAACTAACACAGCTAGTGTAGGGTCAGTATTTTATTTTATCTTCGTAATTTTAAAGTTTTTTGCTATATCCCCATGTTTCTAAAGAGTGTTTCTACTTATTAATTTGAAGAATTTTAAATTTTATCACTTTTTAAAAAGTATTTATTTATTTGAGTGGCAGAAGTAGAGAGAGGGAGAGAACAAAAGAGATCTTTAATCTGTTGGTTTACTCCTCAGATGGTGATGATGGCTGGGGCTGGGCCAGGAAGAAGCCGGGCGTGTGCAACTCTGTCCTGTCTCCCACATGGTTGGGAAGGACCGCAGCACTTGGGCCTTGCTCTGCTCCTGTCGCAGGAGCATTGGCAGAGGCTGATTGGAGCAGGCTAACTGGGCTCTGGGTGGCAGGTGAAGCAGCCCTGACACTAATGGCATTGTTTGGGATGCCAATGTTGCTGGATACCCAGCTGTACCACAGTGCCGGCCCCATTTTTCTTCTTTTTCTTGGCGATTTAATTATATATTTGAAAGGCAGGGTTAGAGAGAAAAGGAGAAACAGAGAATGAGGTGGTATTTTTTGGTTTTTTTTGTTTTTGTTTTTACTTTGTTTTTTTTTTTGTATTTCAGCAGAACTGGAATACTTGCTGGCCACCATAAAAATATCTATGATTCAAATTGTTTTTGAAATATGTACCTGTTTAAATTTTAAAAATATAAAATATATGTAAATGTAATATATTTGTGGGTCATAAGAAGAGTTAAAAAATGGAGAGCTTGTGGTATGTTTTGTACATCTTTAAATACTACTGTCTTTGGGGCAGAGTTTTCCAATTCTCTAGCTCAATTGCATAGAAATAATTGTAGTTCCCCCTGTTTTTTGCTTAAGTGAATTTTTAAGAGAATTATGCTAACAATTCTAAGGAATTTTCCAGGGTTTGTTTTTAGGAAATAAAAGATATGACTTGCATATTGTATACCTGGATTTTGCCCCTCATACCTTTTTAAATTTTGCTTCTTAGAATACTTTGCCTTTCATTGCTTTTATATGTAAATGTTGCTGCTATTTATCCAGAGAAGGATTTACATTAGTAGCTTTCACTTGTTTAGTGAGGCATAACTTTAATAATTGATTTTAGCACATAACCTAATTAACTAATTTTTCTTGCATTAAGACAACAGTCTCACCGTGATGCACATTAGATTCACCTAGAGAACTTAAAAAATTCTGCCAGTACCTGAATTCCGTCCTCAGAAGCTCTGATTTAGTGGGTGGCCTTCCTCGTAATTCTAACAAGCAGCCATGGCTAGCAGCCAGTGTGCTCTAGTGAGAACTAGGTTGGGTTGGGTGGGGTTACAAGTGGAGAAAGGGGTGTAGCGATGAACTTCACTCTTTCCCCTCTCTGCCCCAGTTGCAGTGAAACAACCAAGGGATTCAGAAGAAAGCCAAAGATCACTGAGACTTCACAGAGGTTAGAAAATGAAGTAGCCTTTTCTCCTTCAGTCACTGTAGACATGGAAGGGCTTTAAGAAGACCTCAAACGGTTCAACAAAGGATGCTCTAATGGATGACAGTGATATCCCTACATATAATCTGCAGAGAGAACCACAAGATGGGTGTCAGCCTGGTGACAGCGTGGAAAGGAAAGTAACCCACTTGCCTCCCGTGTCAGATGAAAATGAAAACCAGCTTGATGGAAGTGGGTCTGAGCCCCTGACCAGCCACGACAGCACAATGGGAAAACCTAAAGTAATTGAGCAGGACAGTCTCAACAATAATGAAAACTATGCTTCCAGCTGTGAGGCAGCTGCCAGTGAGCTCTTGGAAAATACTGCTTGTGAAGGCTCCAGAGATGGACACACCCTTGGAAAGGACCAAAGAACACCTGGGAAAAGAATCTCAAGAAGTAAAAAAGGTACTGACAAGAAGACACTGTCAGGTATTTTAACATTATTATTTATACTGTTGGTTAGTTGATTATGCACATGCTGCATATATTGTCCTAGCTCTTGCTTTTCTTCACCTAATATATCCTGATGCTAGTTCTGCAACAGTACATGCGGTTCCAACTCTGTGTGGTATTCCTGCATGTGCTACGTCTCCTTTGTATGAGTGAGTTCCTTTGTATGGGTGTACCATAATTTACTTAACTACTTCCTTATGGCTCTTCCTTATGGCTATAATCAATTTTCATACTAGGTACTCCTTCCTTTATGAAATAGGCCATTTTCTGGCAATATTGTCATAAATTTTCCTTTTGCCATCACTGTTGCTTTGAATTCCAACCTTATGAATTTATGTATTTGTAGGGCCTTTTTATAGGATCTTCCCATCTTAGTAGGTGAAAAAAATATATATATATGCTATTTTAGTTTGGTGTCAGTATTGAATAAGGCTTTGATTTTAATCCTCTGTATCTGTTTTGTTTCAAAGTCATTCATACTATTTATTTAAGTATAGTTTCATTTTCAGAATTTTCAGCTGTGGATTTTGCCCAAATTCTAGGACCGCCTTGGGAAAAAGACAGCATCTGATTATTGTTATTATTATCTTATCAAAAACACATGGGATTAAAGGGTTCTGGTATGTCCTAGGCAGGAATTCCATAGCACAGCACCAGTTTATTCATTCCAGCAGTCTTTCCTTGTCAGGTTAATGTCTCCTCTCAATATATTTTTTTAAAGATTTATTTATGTTGATTGCAAAGTCAGATATACAGAGAGGAGGAGAGAGAAAGGAAGCTCTTCCCTCTGCTGGTTCACTCCCCAAGTGACAGCAATGGCCGAAGCTGGGCCGATCCAAAGCCGGGAGCCAGGAACTCCCTCCAGGTTTCCCATGTGGGTGCAGGATCCCAAAGCTTTGGGCCATCCTTGCCTGCTTTCCCAGGCCATCCTTGCCTGCTTTCCCAGGCCATAGCAGGGAGCCAGATGGGAAGTGGGGCTGCCAGGATTAGAACTGGTACCCATATGGGATCCTGGCGCGTTCAAGGAGAGAAATTTAGCCCCTAGGCCACCATACAGGGCTCGTCTCCTCTGAATATTATTCTCTTTTACATATTTGGTTAGAAGGATATGTAGTCAATCTATCCCATATCCTGTTGTGTCTCTTCTGTTTGGAGTAAGATATACCAAACTTTCCTGCTTCCACAAAGTAATCCTTATTTTATTTAGTAAGATAATATGAGTTTTTTTTTTAATTTTTAGTTTTCTGTTTAATATTGTTTACATAATTGAGAGGGATACACACCCATGTGGCCCCCAGTTAGGGTGGGGAGGATCAAGTATGTAACAAGGTGAGTGGGACAAATGTTTCCACTTTTCTTTTATTCTCCTGTGTCCATGGAGGAAGAATAGAAGAGGGCCACTCCTTGCTGTCAAACTATATAAGCACTCAGAGATGGGGGATGGCACCTCATATTGGGAGGAGTGTTTCAAGGGTGATGTTACTTGAGTGGTTTTGATAGTTCTGAGAAAATTTTTTAAGAAAGAAAGACGGGCCCGGCGCGGTGGAGCAGTGGTTAAGGTCCTTGCCTTGCACGCCCGGGATCCCCTATGGGCGCCGGTTCTATCCCGGCAGCCCCACTTCCCTTCCAGCTCCTTGCCTGTGGCCTGGGAAAGCAGTCGAGGACGGCCCAAAGCTTTGGGACCCTGCACCCGCGTGGGAGACCCGGAGGAGGCTCTTGGCTTTGGATCCGCATAGCATCGGCCGTTGCGCTCACTTGGGGAGTGAATCATCGGATGGAAGATCTTCCTCTCTGTCCCTCCTCTCTGTATATCCGCCTTTCCAATAAAAAAAAAATAATAAAAATAAATCTTTTAAAAAAAAAAAGAAAGAAAAATTTTTTAAAAAGAAAAATTTTCCAAGTATTATTGGTTGAGAAAGTCCACCTTAGTGTATCCATGGGCCTAGGAACATACTGCTAGCTTGGCCAGGAGAATTGTTCAGCCTGCTCTGCTTTCCATCCTCTGATGAGATAGTTAGTGTCTTCTGCTGGCTTAAATGAGCTGGCCATGGTGCCTCCCTGGCGCATCTGGGTGTGCTGTCCACTGTGCAGGCATCAGCAGCTGAAGCCCACTCCCATCACAGGCTCTCCAAGGTTAGTCGGAGCACATACTGCAGTTTTCTGGTGTGGCCAGGGTCTAGCAATCTAGAAACTTCCTCCGGCATGACCTCACACTGGACTCTTGTGTGACTTTTGTGTGTACCAGCCAGTGCAAGCTCAGGAGTATAATAACTTTATGGTGTAATGTTGTTATAATATGGCTTTTCATATCCCTATGTCTTTTTCTTAGAACACTGAAAATAAAATAAAAACATCCTGTAACAAATGATGTGATAGTATTTTCCTTAGAGATTTAAGGTAAACAGGTGCAAGATTTGGATATCCAAAAAGTCCACAGAAAATGGAATTAAAAAATAAATTCATTTAAGTACAAAAATTTTTCAAATCTATAAGCATATGAGGGATCATTAAAAAGTTTATGATTGGGGCTTGTGTGGCACAGTGGTATTAGCTATTACCAGTAATGCCACATTCCAGATGGGGGCTGACTCAAGTACTAGCTTCTTCACCTTCAGTCCAGTTCCCTGTTGTGTGAGGGAATATAACAGAAGATGGCCAAGTGCTCAGCCCCAGCAGAAGCTCCTGCATTCTGATTTCCATCTGTAACAGCCATATGGGGAGTGAACCAGCAAGATCTCCCTGACTGTCTCTCCATCCCTGTCTCTCTAACTGTGCCTTTCTTTGCTTTTCTTTTCTTTTTTTTTTTTTCTTTAGTTTTGACAATCTTTACATAGTTAATTAGGGCAAAAAGGGTTGAAGGGCTATAGGAAAGTTGGTAAGACTATTTTTTCCACATTGTTTTCTGCCTTTCAAATAATGAGTTTTTAAGCAGTCTTCTTGTGCTCTGGATTGTGATCTCTATAAAGCCCGTCTTACCTTTATTGTTTAAAGTATAGTCTGTACATGGCAATGGTTGTGTTCAATGTACACTTGATTAAGATGATCGTTTTGACAAATATGGTTTTTTTTTTAAAGATTTATTTTGTTTTTATTGAAAAGGCGGATATACAGAGAGGAGAGACAGAGAGGAAGATCCGTCCGATGATTCGCTCCCCAGGTGGCCACAGCGGCTGGAGCTGAGCCAATCCAAAGCCAGGAGCCTCTTCCCGGTCTCCCACAGGGGTGCAGGGTCCCAAAGCTTTGGGCCGTCCTTGACTGCCTTCCCAGGCCACAGGCAGGGAGCTGGAAGGGAAGAGGGGCTGCCGGGATTAGAACCGGCGTCTATATGGGATCCCAGGCATGCAAGGCAAGGACCTTAACCACTGTGCCACCGTGCCGGGCCCCTGAAACAAATATGTTTTTAATAAATATGTTATATACATATGTCTTTCTAATTTAACAAATGCATGCAAGTCAGCACTGGGAAATTACAGCCACTCAAAAACAGATAGATAATATTTCATATGATAGAGTATTATTTGATGATAAAAATGAGTGGTGGGTACTAATACATGTCACATTAGATGAACCTTAAAAACATTGTGCTAAGTAAAAGAAGCCAAAGGCCTTTTAAACAGTTCATGGAAACTTGGAAATGAAGCAGACATTTGAAGCATGCAGTTACAATGCTGCTTGGAATGCTTGTGTCTTGTATGCGGGTGCCTGGGTTCGGCAGGTTCCAGCTTCCTGCCAAAGCCCACTCTGGAGCCAGCAGGTGATTGCTCCAGGAGTTAGGTCCCTGCCATCCGATGGGCATCCTGAGCTGAGTTCCAGCTTTGACCTGGCCAAGCCAAGGCTGTTGTGGATTTTGGGGAAATTATGCAGCAGATGGAGGCTCTCTGCTTCTTCCTCTGCTCTTCAGTTAAATAAAAAATTATTAGGTGTTTGAAAAATTGATTAGGTGACAGTTGCATAACACTAAATACGCTAAAGCCATTCATTAGAATGTATAATTTAAATGGATAAATCGCGTGTTGTGAATCACATCAGTGAAATTGTTAAAAGGGACAAAAACAGGAGGTTGTGATTTTGGTTTGATGTTACAAAGAAACAAGGTAGTACAGTCCTTTGTCTTCACAAAATTAGAAGATAACTGTATAGGGCCCTCAATGTATTGTACCAGATTAAGCTACTGCCTGAGTGTTGGCATCCCACATGTCTGCTTCATGGCTCAGATGCTCCTCTTTCTGATCCACTTCCCTGCTAATGACCTGGGAAAGTGGAAATAGCCAAAGTGTTTATGTCGCTGCCACCCATGTGGGACACCTGGATTAAGCTTCTGGCTGTTGGCTTTGACCTGACCATGACAGCTGTCTGGGGAGTGACCCAGAGAATGGAAGGTCTCTCTCTCTCTGTTTTCTTCTCTCTGTAACCCTTACTTTCAAATAAATAAAGTATTCCTTAAAAAAAAATTAACAAGTGTGCAGGGATTTGATGTAATGTGATTTTTCTATATACTTTGTAGTAAAGTAACATTAAATGTGTTTCTCTGTGCTTTAACTTGTGTCAGTTAAAAGTTCCTGTTTTCCTCAGTCTTCCATTCTCATGTGGTTCCATTAAATCAAAAAGCATCTCTGACATTAGTAACTTTAAGAAAGTTAAAGAATATTGGTGAAAATGTAACCATTTTTTTGGAGTGTTAGATTTTTTTTCCCTTCTTACACAAATAAGTACTTAATTTAAATATATGCCTTTTTATTTGTTAGCAAAACAAAAGAAGACTATCTGAAGATTCTTTTTAAAGTTCACAGAAAATGGGGTGATCATTCTGCAGCTGTTAAGCAGCTTCTTGGGACATGTGCATGCATATCTCAGTGTCTAGATTCGAAGTGTCCCAGCTGTAGCTCTCCATTCTAGCTGCCTGGTTATGTGTACCTTGGAAAGCAGCAGGTAAAGAAAGGCTCTTGGGGGGCCAGCATGGTAGCCTAGTGGCTAAT